AAGCGTTCACAAAGGACTAATACGAAGATACGAGGGACCATTCCAAGTACTTGCCAAGGTGGGAAAAGTGTCTTATCGCTTAGACTTGCCAAGTACACTTAAGATTCATCCGGTCTTCCATGTAAGTATGCTCAAGCCATATCATGCCGACAAAGAAGACCCAAGCCGAGGGTATTCGCATCGAGCACCTCCCGTAGTAACCAAGTCTTATGACAAAGAGGTGGAAACGGTGCTCACAAGCAGGACGGTCCGCAAGAGGAGTCCACCGCGTACCGAGTATTTAATCAAGTGGAAAGGCTACCAGAGTCCGAGGCAACATGGGAGCTAGCTGAAGACTTGTGGCAGTTCGAAGAACATCTCAAAGCGTACGAGGCGACGAGGACGACGCCAGAATAGGTGGGGGAGAATGTCACGAAATTGGGCCTTTTCCCCACTTTGGCTATTTTGGCTATGTTGGGCCACATTTGGTCTTGGAGGTTGATAGAATAGTGTAGATTATTCTAGAACACTCAAGACTTGTACATATTCTAGAAGCATTCTAGAGTCTTCCATGTTAGGTAGGAAATAATGGAGAATTCTAGAGAATCTCTCCCTACCGTAGGATCAAATCAATCTCCATCGTCCATTGAGGAGGTGGGATGCTATAAATAGGTGTAGAATCCTCATTTGTAAATCATCCAAGAGTTGTAAGCATTCAAGCATTCAACAAGCTTTCTCTCTAAGTTCTTTCCTTTCTTCTTTTGTTTCCTTGTCAATCCTTTCTCTAGCACGAGTTCGAGTGAGGCTGACTTAGCTATCGCGAGGGGCGAAAAGGAGCTAAGGCCGCACGAGGCTTATTGAGCGATTAAGTCCGTGACAATAAGGAGCAAATTGGTGAAAAGTGGTCTAGAGGCCGTGAGCTCATACCTGGATTGAGCTGAAGATTTGAGCTACAAGATGACCTCATTTCAGCTGGGAAGCTGCACCATCATCATCACCACTTAGGACACTTCAAATATGTCCTAAGTCAAAATTTGTGAAATCATACCTTTTCGCGAATAGTTGCCACCTCAAGAGGTACCTTTTCACAAGGAGCTGCCACAATGTTCACTATACTACAAGTCACCTATGGCCAGCTCACCTTTACCTCATTCACACCATAAGTAGCTCAAACATGAAGGGTTACCTTTCTCAAACATTGTGACTGTCGTAACCGGTTTTCGTCCGGGCACAAATTTTTTACTTGGCGGGAAAATTTATGTGAATAAATGGTTTTGAAAATAATTTGGGAGTCGCCATCGGCCTTTTGGGTCAGGTAGGTCGAATACCTAAAAATTATTATTTTTTTTAAAAGAGTTTTAAGAAAACACCAATAAAAATGAACTGATCTGCGTTTGTAACCAAAAATTCGTTCTTTTTAATAATAAAAAGGGATTCGTGGTCGATTACGTTTAGGGAAGGATTAGCACCCCTACAACGCCCAAAATTGGTACTTTTTTAATTATAAATTGTCTCTATTATTAAAAATTTAAAAAAATTCAAAATATATTTAATTTATAATCCTATTATTTCAAAATTATAAAAAATATTTAAAAATATCGGAAAAGAACTTCTAGGTGCCTTAAGACAGCTCTTTTCTTTGATATTGATAAATAGTAATTTAAATTAAATAATATTTTTTATAATTTTTTTAAATTTTAAAATACCAGAATAGGACATCCAGTTGTATTAAGACTGTCCTTTTCTTCGATATTGAAAAATAAATATTAAAATAATTTATTTAAAAATAAATTATTATTATATATATATATTTATGAATAAAAATATTTAAAATATAAACAAGTAAAATTAAAACAATAAAAATACAATTAGAACGATATATTTAAAAGCAATAAAATAAATGAAAACATTTAAAATAAATGACTAAATTATAGTAAAAATAAAATTAAAAACCTAATTCATAATTAATCAAAATTATAGGGATTAAACATGCTATTTCTTTAATTTATTTATTTAGTGACTAAAATAAAATTATTTAAAATTCGAATATAAGATTAAAAATATAAACTAGGGATTAAAATATTATTTATTAAAATTAAGGGATTAAATCTGTTATTTATCCTAAATATATTATTTTAATATAAAGGACTAAAATAAATAAAATTAAAATTTAGAGATCAAATTAAAAGGATTATAAATTCGATTTAGTGACTAAAATGTAAAGTTTACAAATTCGGAGGACTGCGGAAAGGATTTAACTATTATTAATTACACGAATAGCCCTTCCCAAAACGGCGTCGTTCGGGAAGGGCTATTTAAGCCCAAAATCAGCTGGCCCGAAGGGCCAGCTTCATTTCTTCTCTCTTCCCTATCTCTCTCTTTTCTGAGAGAAAGAAATTCTCTCGCTTCTCTCTAGAAAAGAGAGAGGCTCTCCGGCCGGCAGCCGCTTGCCGGCGTGGATCCCGCCGCCGGCCACCGTCTTCGGTGGCCGGAATAATTTTTTTTACATTGAAACGTAGATCGGACCGTCCTAATGACGGTTCCGATGATCTTTTCTTTTAAACGGCTCCCGATCGGAGCAAATCTAAGAAATATACCTTCGGTTTTTCGAAGGTTTTGGTGAGATCCGGTGGTCGGGGCTTCCTCGGTAAGTTTTTCTTCTTCCTTTTTCTTTCTTTTCTGTTTCTTTGCTGCGTTGTTGTTGAGATCGTTGGTAGCTTTTTTTTAGTATTTTGTTTCTCTGTATTTCTCTTCTCTGTGTATTTTCTGTCTCTCCCTGTGTTCCTCTTTGCTCGCAGATGGGGTGATGGCTTTATAGCCATCACCGGTGTGGCCATCGGACCGGTCCGAAGAGCGGATTTCGGTGAGTCACCGAACTATGTGGTGACTCACTGCTAGAGTAGTAACGTGGGTGGCCATCTGGGTCTTCTGGAGGCTTCGATGGAGGCGTGGCACTGGCAGCAGAGGCGGTTGCGCATGAACCGTTGGCTGAGGCGGCTGGAGGCAGAGGCGGCTGGAGGCAGAGGCGGCTGCGCATGGGGCTAGGGTTAGAAAACCCTAACTGAAACCCTAAATCTTTTGGGTTTCAGTTTGGTTTGGGCCGGAAATTTGGCTTGTAATTTTTTATTATTATATATATATATATATATATATATATATATTTAATAATAATAATAATAATAATAATAATTATAATAATAATAATTATTATAATTATTATAATAATAAATAAATTAATATGGGTAAAAAATTAGTATCTTCAGTGACCTTTCATGAATGTTGCTGCCCATGAAGATGCCTTTACATCTAAGAGCATGTTGGTGAAGACCTTGTAATCATTGGAGGCTTAAATCACCATGGGACATGATATAAAGCTTCATACATATTCGGCCACAACACATGATATGCACATGAGAGCATTTGGCGCCAACATAAGGAGGTACATCACCATTCGGCCAAAGAGGAGCAAATGGCGCCAAGATGAACAAGCATGCCCATTCGGTCAAGGGAGATGCCTTTCCATCCTTAGCCGAATCATCAAGTCCCTTTATGAAGGGATAGCCGAACCAACACCAAGCCTATAGACATGTTCTTTCTTTTTAAAGCATTATGTATCTTCATAAAGTCATGTATCTAGCCGAAACATCATGTAACCATTCGGCCAAGCCCTCTCATTTTCCTATAAATAGAGTGGCTTGCTTGCCATCATTTGTACTCATCTCATCTCATATATAAAATTTACTCTTGTGAGTTAATTTCTCTTCAAAGTTCTTTGTGAACTTTATCGATTAAACAAGTATAATTCCTATACTTGTGGCGTCATTCCTTCCATCCTGATTCCAAAATTCCTAGATTAATATCTAGAGGGTTGATGACACTATCACCACCTCTCAAACAAGTTTGTGAAGACCGGGATTGTGCTCCTTAGCACTATTTCATCTTTGGCATGTTTGAGATACAACAACAATACCATCTCCATTTCAACATCAACACTATCAACTTCATCCATCAAGACCATCATTTCCGCAGCCATCTCTATCCCTACTATTTCATTTCATCATTTATCTTATTCTTCCATTTATTATTCCAATATTAATCTTCTTTCTTTCTTATCTTATTTGCAGCCCAAGCTTATAATTCAAGGACATCAATACTTGTCAATCCTAGATCGGGGCACAATAAGGCTATCTACCCTCTTCCATCAAAGCGTGTAGATCACCTTACATCAATATTCTTGGGACAGTTGCTACTTTTCCCCTGGTTCTTTTGTTATAGGATGAAAGAAAATCTTTTCAAATTAGTGATTAGTGCAGATGCGTCCTGGTGTTAAACCTAGTCTACCATCACCATCAAAGTATATTCACGGGACGGGACCGTTGCTTCTTGTGACTTTCCTTCACCTTTCTTTTCACTTGGTTATTTGTTATATGATAAAAGAAAATGTGTGATATGTTGATGTTTAACCTAGCCTACCATCTCCATCGAAGCATATTCACAGGACAGTTGCTTCTTGTGACTTCTCTTCACCTTTCTTTTCCCTTGGTTCTTTTGTTATTTGACTAAAAAAATGTGTTAAAATGTGTGATTAGATTAGATGCATGCTGATGTTTAACCTAGTCTACCATCTCCATCCTCAATGGTATTTATAGGACAAAAATAAAATGTGTGTGACTAATGCAGATGCATGCAGATGTTTGACCTAGTCTATCATCTCTCTCCATGGAATTTAAGGGGTGAAAAGGACTGCGAGACAAATCAGGCCAGCAACTTTCTTGGTTTAATGTAATATCAGTGGAATATCATGTCTATAGACTATAATCGCAATCTTGCAACAACCAACTTTCGTTGACCGACGATTAGTCCATTGCATGTCAAACTTTGAATTGTAATACATCTTATATGTTTGCTGATCAAACTCAGAAATATACCATAGTCCATAGATACCTTAATAATCACAAAAGTAAAAGTGTTTACCAAGAGATTCGTTAAACTACAGTAGTAGAATGAATGATAATTCATACCCGCCATCAACAATCTCATCAATGCATAACAAAATGATATCTAAGTTCTCCAAAGCCTCCTTCTTGTCCACGTTGCCTCTGGAACAAGTGGTAAGGAAAACAAAATTCAGCATGGTGATATCACATACAAGCACACATATATCACAAGATGGAAAGGTTGAAGCAGGAAAGTATCATGGAAAAACCTTAAGAGAAGTCCAACTGCGTCAATAAAACCCTGAAGTACTGCGGCCAAGATAATCTCATTTTCATTTTCGCCTCCAGTGACAAAAAAGTGAAGGTCTTGGACAAACTTGTACACAACAATATAGTCATCAAACATTGTTATCTCAGCTGCAAACACAACACAAAAGCACCATGTTAGAATAGCAATATGAAGTGAACCAACAGATACACCAATGTCAACCAGGGTGCTCTACCATTCACCATAAAGAAACAATGAAAACAAAGTTCAATTCCATATTCTTGGTAACCTTCATGATCAGGCTAGAAACTGTTTAAGTTCAAAAATCCAATTGAATTGGTTAACTCATCATTTTCTAAACAAATCTATCTGAAATCTGAATTAAAAATATGCATTCTGTTCCAAAACTAGTTTACCTTCGGTACGGGCATTAGTCTTCTGAGTTTTGGTGAACACAGATTTCTCAAAGGCTTCCTTAGCAGCATTGGTTGGCCAGTCATCTGAATAATACTTAACAGCTATACGTTTCCCTTCGGAATCCAAAAGAAGGATGTTTTTAATTAAAGGGCATAACTCCTACAAACAAGATCACTAAAGCTCATTAAAGAATCATTTTTTCCCATCAAAATAACAATGCATTCAGCTAAGAACTAACACAGCTAATCAGAAGTAAGAAATAAATAACTACAGTTTCAAATCAGTTCCGAGTTCAAAAGTTTCTCCGGTATTCAAATTGAGTTCATTTGGAAGTTAGATCTAAAAGAAAGAGCTCGAATCGGAGTCTAGCTGTTTGAAAATTAAATATTACAGGGGAAATTAAATTCAAATGCGAGTAAAATAAGTTTAGATCTGCCCTATGGATAAACTGAACCCAGCCAAGGAAGATCTCTGAAACGCAAATTGGGAAAAATTATTTAAATTTCGTATAATTGAAAACAGAAAGACTGCGTAGTTGAAAGAGAGGAAGAAAGGTGACCATTTTTTTTTCTCTTTTGGAAATATTTTCTCGGAAACGATGGGTTTTTTGGTTTACTAATGTCCGTCAGAGCTGCAAATGGAGGGTTTTAAGCGACGGGGAAAAAACGGACGAGCGACGGATTAGGTGAATGAAATTATTATGGGTAAACTACAGGTTTAGTTCCTAAACTATCACATTTATTTTCTTTCAATACCTAAACTTTATCTTTTTCGAAATTGTAATCAACATTTAGTTCAGATTTCAATTTAGTACCCATCATTAAAAAATTAACGCACCAATGACTTGAAATAGTTTTCCCTTTATTTTTAATATTCCACGTATGCTTTCATTATCCACATCATCATTATATGTGGAAATGTGGAATATTAGTGGACTTATCTAAGAGAGTAAAACCCTAAAATCAAAATGGGTTTTTTTCTTCTTCTACATATATAATTATATGTTAGGTATAATTTAAAAAAATAAAATTTAAGTACTAAAACGGAATAAAAGTGATAGTTTAGATACTAAATATATCATTTACCAAATTATTATTAGGACTAATTAAAAAAATAAATGTTAAAACTATATATTTTAAGTGTTTAAATTTTTTTAATCGAGTGTTTAATCTATAACTATTTTAAGTATCTTATTTGTCATTAAAGAAAAGGGTTAACTACATGAATTATCATTTATATTTGTGTGTTGTCCACTTTTGGTCATTGATTTCAAAATACATAAGATATGATCACCTTCTTTCTTATTTAATTATGATGTAGTCACCCGAGTTAACTACCGTTAAATATTTTAGTATAATCACACATTTGGTCTCTGCTATTACATATTCTCTCAATTTAGTCATACTTTTAATAAATTAAAATATATTTAATCCGTCAATCGAATGATGCCACATGTCATTGTTATCACTCGTTGTGTCATGTGTCGCTAATAAGTTGGAAGACTAATTTTATTTTAATTTAACAAAACAAAGCAAATTGGTGGAAAATAAATATATTAAATTAAAATAAAGTCAGTCCTCCAACCGAATGGTGACACGAAGCACGACACATGACACCAGTGATATGTGACATCATTCAATTGGATGATTAAATTTATTTTAATTTATTAAAAGTATGACTAAATTGAGAGAATATGTAAATAATAAGGATCAAATATATGATTATATCAAATATCACACCACTTAATCTGTTAACCGTTAACGACAATTAACCTGTGGTTAAGGTTCATCTTCCTAGTTAGTTCGAACAAGTAGGAAATGAAGATGTGTGTTTTCAAAAATATTTAATTTCACTAATCTTGGCATTTCGTCGAGCAGTTGATTAGCATCACTAAAGCTATAGATTTGAATCGATGATGAAGATGAAAGTATTCAACTACTATTAAACATATATATTAGTTTTGTTAAGATTATAACAAGTTCTTAAGTTAACTTGGTGGTTGGGTGTTTGACATTGCTCATGAAGAGCTTTAGTTCAAATTGTTTGGAATGCAATTTTTCACCAAACGAGTCTAATAAAACGACGTCGTTTTGGTGAGGGGGCAACATCATCACTGTCACGGCGCAGAGTTACCATGTCATCGTTTTGTTAATGGATTAATGGCGGAGTGTCATAATTGTAGCTAAACATAAATGTCAGTGTTAAAATTGACATAATTGAAACGTCGGTGACATAAACGAGCCCAAGTCTAAAGGTCAGTGGTATTTGAAGTAGTTAACCCTTTCTTTTATTATCGTCTATGAGTTTTCGGCCGATTAGAGATTTATGTATTAAAGAAATTAGAGGATTCAAAAGATGATAAGGGTGATAGTTGATTAGTAGATGAAGAACTATAGGTGGGTGGACATTCGACGTTAGCGACAATTAATGATGATCGACAATAATAACAAGAGTTTATGATATTTTTAGATTTTAGTAAAATTTAAATTTATTTTATAAAAAAAATTGAGTTTTTATTTAAAAAAAAAATATAAGTGTGCTATGTGTTACATTTTGAGTGATTGATAGATTTTTTTAATGATTGTGAGAGAGAAGACACTAAGAATGATAACGAAGAAGAGATATAATTTAAACAATTATTTTTTAGGGTAAACTATGATTTAGTATCTAAACTATCAATTTTAATATGTTTTAGTAAACTTTTAATTTTTTCAAAAAACATACTTAATGTTCAATTTTTGTTTCATTTTTAGTACATTTCGTTAAAAATTTAACGTATTTAGTACCTAAACTATCAATTTTGGTATATTTTAGTACCTAAACTTTCAAAAAAAATTCATAACTTAAGGTTAAATTTTGAATTGGATACAAAAATGAAATAAAAACTAAACTTTGGGTATGATTTTGAAAAATTGAAAGTTTATGTATTTAAACTTATCAAAATTGGTAGTTTAGTTACTAAATGCATAATTTATTCTATTTTTTAATTTTATCACTATTATTATTGGGAGATAATTGTACGAGAAGTCCCCAAACTATGACACTCATTTTAAATTAAACCCTAAACTTTAAAATATTTTATATTAATCCTCAAACTATAATTCAAATTTAAATTAATCCTTAAACTTTAAGATAATTTATATTATTCCTTAAACTATCAACATCATTACTTTTTGATACTTCAGTTAACTTATTGTTAACTCACTCCCCAGGTTAAAAAAATAAAATTTATTTTTAAACATCTTGAAAATTGAACTCATGATCTTCTAAAAAGTTCTCAATCCCTTAAAAATAATATTAATTTTTTTATAATGTCAAGAAATTCAATTCTCAATACCTTCAAAACTAGATTGAGAAATGAGATATTGACGTGTCACAAAATTCAAATATTTATTTTAATTAGAAGACAATTTAAATATTTAAAGTAAAAGATTATAATTTAAAATTTTATTTTAATAAAAAATAATGTAAATACTGAATAAATAGGGAGCAAAGTATCTGGAAATTTTTTTGTACGGGTTCATTTGATTTTCTTTTGTGGGGTTTAAAATTGAAACCGTCAAAGATTGAGAAATGATCGCACGAATGCTACGAACTCCAGTTCTCTCTCTCTAAATCTCGGGTACTTTACTCATACATTCCAAGCTCTCTTCCTCTCACTTTCCTTGTAATATATCTGCTTTTACTTTCTTCTCTTTTTTCATTTTGAGCTGCCTTTTTGCTCGCTTCAAATCCTTTCCGGCTCTCATGGACGGTAATTTCCCTGAAAATTTGTCTTTTAGTCAGGTATTGAGATTTATTGCTGCTTCTAAGCTTATACGCTAAATTCGTTTAGGTTTTCCCTTGGTTAGGGTTTATATAAACTTGTTTCTTTTCAATTGTATCTTAATCTAGAGTTTCGGTTACGTGTTATTTTTTTTTAAATCGAGTTATTTTGAGGGTATCTTAATAAATTAATATACTGCTATCGTATAAGTTATTACTAGCTGAACTTGATCTTAGTTTCTTTTGATTTTGTGATATTGGAATACTAGTGAGGGATATAGTAAAGTTGAAATAATTTGTCTTGCTAACTTGTTAGAGAATGTTATTGTATGAAGATATGTTTTCTACTTATATGCAGTTCCGGTACTCAAGTGACTGAGATTTTTCGTGATCGTATAGGAATATCATCAAATACGATCTCTATTTATGAATTTAGAACGTATTGCACTAGCACTGATAGAGGTGCGTTGTAAACAATGACCATAGACCATCATCGTATAATGTTGATAGTATGAAGCAAAACCACATTACTATTGATCTGTTTCTTTCTGAATCTAGACTGTGTTTTTTGTTCGTTATCATGGCAGTTTACCATTTTGGAAAAGATTTAAGACCTTCCCTTTTGAACATTTTTTGCAAGAGGCAAACCAAATGCATTTTTAGTTTATAATATTCTCGAGAATGGATTTTAGCATTTTTTTGTGGAATGGTGATTGAAAAGGTCTTAGAATGGACTGCTTTTTAATCACTCTTACATTGGAAGTTGAGAGAAAATTATGCACTCTTTTTTTTTTATAGAAAATTAGGCCTCATTAAAACCCCCTTCGTACCCTCCATTTTGCAACAGTAACATGAAGGACATAGGAAGGAGGAAAAGAGTGCCTATGAACTTTATTAATCAGAACAATAATACACAGCCAGAACCATAACCTACTAATACAACATAACACTGATACATAAGACTTAAACAAACCCCCTACGGAAACAACATTTCCGTACCCGTTAACATACCAGAGCCATAACCTACTAATCAGCCTATTCCATCTTTACCTAACTTATCTGCTTCCCAATTAGCAGCTCTCAGAACATGCCTTGAAATGATATCTAGTCCTTCCATACGAGTAGCTATATCCTTCACCAAAGTCTGAAACATAGGGATGCATAAGTCCAGATTTTTAATCCACTTCAGTGCTGTACTTGAATCCGATTCTAAAATAACCCTCTGACTTAGGGCAGCTCCTAATTCTTCAATAAGAATCAGTCCTTTCTTAATCGCCAATAATTCTGCCATTATAGGAGGACCTCCCCCAACCCTTTCTGAAAACGATTTTATCAAAATACCTCTGCTATCCCTAATCAGCCCACCTATACCTCCTTTATCCCAGTCCCTCACCATCGCACCATCAACATTAAGTTTAACGAAACCATCAGGAGGATGCATCCACCACGAAGAAGTAGAACAGCCCTCGTTCTGTCTTCCTACTGAATCAGCTAGTTTTAAATCTCCCACTAAGGAATCAAACGGGATATTTACATCCTTGAATCTAGCCCCAAACCATGTAGTAGCTCTAAATCGAACAAGAAAGAAAAGCAATACTGCATCCACTTTCCCTTTTTGAAAAATTACCTCATTCCTGCATTTCCAAACAGTCCACATCACTGCCCTTGGAATGAATTTTCAAATGCTTGATTTCGGTAGTAAATCATCCCATAAAATAATGAAATCGATCATATTCTTAGGAACCACAAAAGAAACATTCCATAAATTGAGAAATCTATACCACAGACCCCATACTATCTCACAATGCAAAAAAAATTGTGAAACCGTTTCTTCATATGTACGACACATCGGACATAGGGGGTCTTCGATCCCAGCCACTCCTCTCTTCAATAATTCCTCCTTAACCGCCACTCTCTGGTGAGCAAGCTGCCATACAAAAAAAAATTATGCACTCTTAGTTCAATGGTTAAATTTATTTCTCATTTTGACTTCTTTTTTTTTTTGATAGAATTCATTTTGACTTCTTTGAAAAATATATTTTCTATTCTTTCATGCTCTTTCTTATTGTAGAAATTAAACTCAATTTCTTTGGCAGCCTAAGACTGTCTTAACTTCTTTCTTTACTTTTCCATGCTGCATTCTTTTTTCGGTGCCAAAAGCATCAATTTCTCTTGCCTTTTCATATGATCTTGCACTTTATTTTGACTATGCAGAGTTTAAAATGTAGGATTGAACTTCATTAGCTGAACTTAGTATGAATAAAGGCTATGAGATGGGATTAAGTTGGTCTATGTCCTTAATAAATGACTTTTTTTGGAACCATCCCTAATTTTTGAGGTGTCATTACTTTTTTAGGGTATTAAACCTATATGATATGCTGTGATGCATAGTTACTCTTTTCCTCGCTTGATGGTCTGTATTTTTTATGTATTACAGTAGTGGCAGTTCTACATATTGGCTCTCATTAGTTTCTGACATTTTTGATGAAATTATATTTGATCATAATGGATGGTTCTTGTTGCCTCATGTGGTTGATTTGCTTTGTTAGATTTGTCGACTAAGAAGTGTGTTCCGTGTAACTCAAAGGATCTACGGTCTATGACAGAAGAAAGTGCAAGAAAATTAATCCCAAAGGTATGTCTTCAAAATATCTATTAATTTTTTTAATTATAAACCGCTACCTTTACTGCCTAAGTTTTGATCAGGTGGATGGTTGGAATTTGTTAATGAAGGGGATACATTGAAGCTAAAAAGGTCTTGGAAAGTAAAGAGTTTCAGCAAAGGACTGGAGATGTTTCAGCTCATATCTGATATTGCTGAAGCTGAAGTACATTGTGTAATAATTTTTACTCGATATAGATCTCTGATGAAGGAAATGAACGTGTAATTGACTTGTTTGGAAATTTTGGTCATTGCATGGATGAGTGAAAGGATTGTTGTTAATGCAGGGCATCATCCAGATCTGCATCTGGTCGGATGGAACAATGTAACAGTTGAAATTTGGACTCATGCTGTCGGTAACTATTATTTAGCCCTTGAAAAGACTCTAAATTTTTGTTCTTCCTTTTGCCTCTTTTATTTCATTCTTTGTTTTTTCCTGTACTTGTGCATTTGGCAAGGATGGTTTGTATTTATTTTTCCTTTGTTCATTCATCACCTGGCTTTTACCTGTTTATGCCAGATGAGAAGCAAAGGTTCTCTGTTTCTTGAATGATTTGCGAGCATGACATTAATCTTGTTTTTTTTTAATTATTTAGTATTTACTGTTAAAACGAGTTGAGAGATGGAGCTGGCAAATTTTATCTAGCTTTGATGGAGCTAAGGCTTTAATTCTCCTCTAACTCGTATTGTTCAAATGTGAATATTCCTTCTGAATAGGTGGACTTACGGAAAACGACTTCATACTTGCTAGCAAGATCAATGCTCTCGACCTGCACCATCTTCTCAGAAAGAAAGTTACCAGTTGATAGGTATCCATGGAATGTTAAACTATACGCTCCTAAAAACATGTTTTTGGTTTGTTGAAACTTACAAGTTGGAAACAACTATGTTTTCCCTCTGCAACATTGCTGGTTAATCCTTTGTTCTATTAAATTCTGTCGAGGATTCGACAAACATGGATAAGTAGATAGATATAGCTAAATGAAGCACATGAAATTTGCCAATGCTAATACCTGCATAGAGTTCATGAGCTTCCAATGGTTTGGTTGGTTTTTCCCTTGCATTGTATCGAACTCCTGTGCATTGCCTCCAAATGAGATCCATATAATACAAGTAGCTAGGAGCGTAAATGAATTGGTTATCACTAAATGTAACACTTAGACTCGTCCTAGATGTTCTGATCGAATCTCGGAGATTACTTATTGATAATTTATAAAACATGTTCATTTTTTATGAAAACATAAATGGTTATCAAAATAGTTTGTAAAATAGATAAACAATTAATAACCTCATAAATAAATAATCATTAAATTTCATAATTATAAGGTAATGCATGCTAAAACAATGAGTACAAAGTACCAAAAGTCTAGATACATAATATTTCAGTCTAACCCTATAAAGATCAAAAGTCTAAATGCATCGTTGAGCCATCTTCCAAGTTCCAGAATAATTCTATCGAACAAATCTGAAAGAATAGAACTAAAGGGTGAGTTATAGAGTGAGTTTTTCTATGTGCGGGTTAAACAACACAAAATACAACACACAGTTAGTTCAGGGTAAACGATACTTTGGAAATGGCATGTTCATACAACATCAAACATGATATGTGTGCATTGTAAATCATCGTCCCATTTACATCGTCGTACAGTTCTCGGTGAATCATCCAATAAGGATGAATTAGCCTGTAACTCGGTGATTGAAATTTACCATCCAATAAGGATGAACCAGCCTGTAACTCGATAATTGGAATTTACCATCCAATAAAGATAAACCAACTTGTAATTCAGTTATTCGGTTACTCTTCCTCTTCACAACCCAACCCAATGCAAGATATACGATAAATGTCAATACAGTAAACATCGGTAAATCTTACGCAATCATATTTACGATATGGCGCACGATAAATACATACATTAGTGAATATAGATCATGATTATACATACAAAACATGGTTACAATCTCACACTCGAATAATCATAGAATAACAATTACCTTAAATAAATCAGTATATCATATAATCAGTCTCAAGCACGCAACATACTCTACCACAAGAAACGATAAACAATTGTAGCACTAGACGAGAAACACACCTTTTGCAAACTATGAACTCAAGCTAAGTTATATGCTTCTCACGAGTGGTAACATTAAGCTGAGACTGTTTCAAGTCCACTAATGATTGCTCGAGCAAAGTCGAGTCACCTTCAAACACAAATAACCGTATATGAGTCACTTTTCAAAAGATAATTATAATAGAAAAGTCTAATTAATTAAAAATAAATAAATAGGGGCTTTCAAGTTAGAATTTGATGAAACATACTAAAAATTAGACTGATAGTAAAAAAAATATTAGGGTAGAGGTCTTTAGAAAAAGTCAACAGGTTAAAGTCAAAGTCAAAGGTTAAAGTTAACTCTCAAAGTTAATAGGTAATGGTTAAAGTCAGAGTTAATGGTTAATGGTCAATAGGTTGGGTCAAAATTGACGCGTTAGGTCGGGTAGAGTCAATGGTCAGGTCGGGTCAATAAGTCGATTTATGTTGGACCGATTCGATTGAATAGAATTGGTCCAATTCAAATCGGTTCAGACCGATTCAAACGATTCTCTCCTGGTTGTTGATAACGCCCACACGTAGGGAGCTGCATGTGGGGTGCATGCGATGGCTACGGTTGTCGGGTTTTCACCTAATTATCCAGAATTGAATTTTAAAGTACAAGAGAAATCTCTTACCGAGGTTGGTTCGCGATGAAGAACGACAGATGTGTGATTTCAACGGCACCTGAAGCTTTCCTCTCATCACTCTCACTAACGACGGTAACAATAGCAAATACGAAGACACTGGTAGAACGAGGACGACAAGACGAATACAACAGTACCAAAATGGAAGAGGGGAAAATGCCAAAATGCTATAATGAGCTTTTTATACTCTAAGTTAGGGTTTTTAAAATTGGTTATTCTCCAAAACAATCCTTGCACTTCTCATAGTTTAAGAAATAGGTCATAAATCATTTGAAAATTAAGTTTTGTAGAAAAAATTTGCAAGAATCAAAATCACCTTAAATCCAGGTTGTGGAAGGCTTAAAGAAATAAAGTTGTGTTGTTTATTTTTGAATGTGTTTGTGTTTGACTCATTTAATGTTGACAAAAACATGTTTGTTAACATGTTTGCTAAAGGAAAATAGTGAAATTATGCCACTAGTGGTGAAATTACACCACTAATCCTTGAGCCTTAAGTTTCATAGTTTGAATTTTAAAATTTATTGTGTTCTATTTAATTTTTACCTCAACCAATATTTAAAATGTAAAAAAAAAGTGAATTGGATAAAAAACTTATAAATGAGTCGAAAAAGAACTTATTAGCGATTTTTAAACGAGTTTGTTTGTAAACATAATCAATTAAACACATCTTTCTTTCTTTCGTTTATTAAATGAATCTAAGAATTTTGTTCATACTCGTTTATTTAACTTAGTAAGCGAACATGAAATGAATCTAAGAATTTTGTTCATGCTCGTTTATTTAACTTAATAAACGAACATAAACATAAACAAACGTTATATGAACAACTTACAAACAATTTATCAAGCACACTATTTGCGTACACTCTTATAAATAGTTTTGTTCATTTACACTCCTATATCCAACAAATTATTCACGCTTAAATGGTCCCGGGGTTCTAAGTGGCTCCTTTACGAGGAACTGGAAAGTTGGAATGTACGCATCACGTCCTGGAGATAACAATGTGTATTAATCTCATGGTGTCTATGAAGGTATTAGATCATAAAATTTAATTCTGGAGATGACATTAATCCTATATTAGATCATAAATTTTAACTTTGGAGATAGAAGTTGATAAATGAAATCGGGCCATCTACTTTGACCACGTCAATATATATATATATATATATAGGACATCTTTTAAACGTGAAGATGCTCCTCAACAAACCTAGTTCACATCAGTAGTAAACAAATACGTCCCTTCTGTCACTTGATCAAAGGCTTTTCTTCCAGCTTTTCTTAGTGCAGGTGTGGCTTGTTTCCTTGCACCCAAGTAAGGGTGGTCCGACATTAATATCTATTAGAAAAGAAAAGAAGAATGTCGGAAATTCACCGGTTACAATAAGTAGTAATCCATTAAAAATGTAAACCACGTACAATTCACCCTCTAATTTACCCGGCTCCCTTTGGAAGACCATTGGAAAGGCTTCCAGTGCATCAAAACCGAGTTTTATGACGGATCTGTTGAAACTCTTAATACCAGGAAGCCTTACTAAGGCTTTTATGGTTCAGAGAACGCGTTGAAAGCTTTATCCAGAGATGTGTACAGATTTTTATCATGATAGTATGAATAACAGGAGTGCAAACTATGGTGAACACTCAACAGGATCAAACTAAAACGTTCCTTAAACAAGACACAGAAACTAAAGCTTCAGACTGTTTGAGAAGTTTTCGGTGAACATGAACCAGCATGAACACCAGGTGTCAAGTGAACCAATCTAATTATTGTACCATCCTCGGAAAGATACAGCTCGAACTCTCAATTATATGTACTTAACCCTGCTAACAAGATCATATCATCATAATCTTACTTGGAATGCAATTATGCTCTTGGTTTTCTATGGTGGCAATATGAACCTATCTAATTTCCCTTAAATACTACTAGATATATATATCAAGCATGAGTATGAGGTAAGATTCTCCAAATATATGGAAAAACTAGGAAAAATTTGAGTATGCTCCTGTCACATACATTCTTGTATCCAACACTTATATCCCAATTCCGAGTACCATACGCAAGAGCAGAACAAAACAATTTTAGATGAGGATCAGAGTCGAGAGACAAAGACAGAGGCTCAACGGTATGGAAATGCCAAGAACCAGTAAGGTTTCACAAATCAACATCAGATAGGATGCAAAGTACAGCATTATGAAAACATAGTGTTGTCTCTTAAGGTGATATAATCAAAGTCCTCCTTCTCACATAGTAGGACCTCAACTCAGATCATTCCAGCAACAAACAGAAAACGAGGGACGGATGAATCAGATAAAAATTTCGAATTCAAACGCAATGACTATGATTGAGATATGAAAGCTTATACCATAAGCTCAAATGCTGGTATAGCAAGATAAGCAACACTTACATTCATTATAACACTGACCTTAAACAACAACAATTCACTTCAAGTCTTGAAAATGCCACTAATCTAATTCAATATGAACATGCCTCATCTTCACCTCATAAAAACAGCAACCTTAACCAAGAATGCAGTAAAATTACCTGAAATTCAAAGAATCCTCAAGCCTTGAACCCCCAATCATCACCTTGAAACAGGCTTCTGCAACACAGCAGTCAAGTAAACTTCCCCATTCTTCAAACCACTTGGATCAGTCTTATTAGCCACTGCCCACTTCACTCTCTTATACCCAAGTCTCCCAATCATCGGCTCATAAACTTTCTCCAAATCCACTGCTTTACTAAAGAACCGATCCACCCACAAATAACCTCCTCCTCTCAACACTCTATCCACATCATACAACATAAATTCCATCACCGGTGAAGGTATCCACCGGTTCACCGCCCTCCCGCACCGGACCAGATCCATCGTCCCGTCGAAAACCGGCAGCCTCTGCTGCAACGGCACGTGTAAAGGCACCAACCCTCTTGCTGCTACGGCTTCATTGTAAGGCGCATTGACGTTCATGGTGGTGGTCAGCATCGTGACATTGTAGAAGATTTTCATCAGAGCGGCGAAGGTCCCGATTCCGCCGCCTATGTCGATGCCGATTCGGATCACTGAGTTGGCCGATTTAGCCAGTTGCATGAAACGGTTAACGGGAAGGTCGAGCTCGGAAGCGTATTTCAGCAGGGAAGAGCGTTGGGTATTGAGATCGAACCCTATGGGGTTGTTTTGTAAAAGACAAGCAAATGATTTACACGAGTA